CAGTGGCTTGGGAGGAGGGGGACGTGACACCTTCCCAGCCACGTTGTGATGGCTTTCATGTTGGGTCCTCTCAAAGCCCAGCTGCTTCCCCACGGAGGTGTGACCAGGTCCCACCTCCCTACCCTGCAAGCATCAGGGAATCACAAATCCCCCGCAAATGCCAGGCACCTCTTGTGATGGTTTCCTACTGCAAATTATTTCTCTCTGCTGCAAAAATCAAATGTTTTTATGACCTGTGATAAAAACATCATGTTTTTATGACCCAGATGTGGCAGCCTTGGGAGGCAGATGGACACTTGTCCAGCATATGTGTGATGGACCTTCACTGCATTGGCTGGGCACAAGTGGACATCTCTAACCTGACTGTACCCCATTCCTGCCAGGCCCGGTGTGGCTGGGGGGGGGGCCCCCAGCCCTGGCACGTGCCAATGCCCTGGAGCAGGGTTGTGGCTGTTTGACCCAGCTGTGGGCAGGGTTCTGCATCCCTGGAACCACGAGGGGTGTCCTGGAGCACCACGTGAGTTTGGCTGTGAGCAGGGCATGACTAACTGGGGAGGTGCCTGCGTGCTCCTGACTCAGTAGCAGCTGCCTCTGGGGCACACTTGACACTGGGGAACTGGAAGAGTCCCAGCACTGAGCTCAGAGGCAAATCTGCCCGACCTGCTACGTCAACAGCAGAAACGGAGGGGCCCTGCCGTTCTCTTCCTCCAGCCAACCTCATCTGTGACCTTGGTCAGTGACAAACACTATCCCAGCCCTGCCTGCCCTCAGCTTCCCTCTGGCCATACCGCAGTTCAGGATGGTATGATTCACGCTTAACTCAAGGAGTTGTTCGCTAAAACCTAAAAATGGTAAGACTTTGGTTAGCTTTGGGCATGTTAAAGCCAGCCCCATACCAGCTAAGTAGCCTGGCTTCTATAGGGGTAGCATTTGCCTAAGGTGGGCTGATTTTTAAATCTCTGCATTGCCTCTCTGAGTACTTAGGTAACTTAGGCCTAAAGCAGCAGAATATAGAGCTTGCATTTTAAACTCTTTTTTTTAAATTGAAGAGACCTTTATCGTAATATATCTGCCTGTCCTGCATAGCTGGTGGCGTCTTGTCTTTGGTGTTACCCTGTTTGCATGAACAGCATCTCTAACGCAAGAAGATTGTGGGCAAAAGAACGTCAAGACCCCCAGCAACAATTAAAAAATTCATTAAGCTACTATAGGCCAGCTATTGCTGGGTAATTATTAAGCTGTAAGAATGCTAATTGTCTTACTAGCATTAAACAATTATGCAAATAATGGAAAACACACCATAAGAGCAATAAAATTACCTCCCTTCTTCTCTCTCTTTTTTTTTTTTTAAAAACAATAATGAGATTTAAAATCTAAAGTGGTGCGTATGGTTTTGCTCTCCAGGGTTTATTGGGAACATCTTTGGAGAGGAGCAAGACCTCTAAGGACACTCAGCAGAGGGTGAGTAGGACGTCTTGAACCACATCTACCATGAGTCGTCTGCAGGGCTTGTAGTGCCACTGCACCGGGCTGTCCCCCTGCTCTGCACCCCCTGCAGCCAGCCAGGCAGCAACACAGGGACATGCAGGCCCTGATGGCTTTGGAGGACCACATGGTGGCCACACTGCTAGGCCAAGACTGGAGAGAAGAGAGTCTGAATTTTGCACTATCATAGATTTCCTATGGGAGCCCCAGTTCTCCCCCAAATAGACCACGTGGTGCTTCAGGTTTGGGCTGGGTGAAAACAAGGCAATTTGTACACAGTTTTTCACATCAATTCAGCACAAAAGTGGAAAGTCCTGGCCTTTAAGGTTATGTTATCTCAAGGGTTTTATTACTATCAAGTTGGCAAACTGAGGTAAGAGCCCTCCTCTCATCCAGCTCTGTGTTCCTGTGAAACAAGCGGAAGACCTCATTTACCCCCCACTGCCAAGAAAAGGAGACTTCACTTATCCATGTCCACAACAAGCTTGGTAGAGGCAAAGTGCTTCTTTGCTTCAGCATGTTAATATTGTTAATCACTAACAAATATTATCAGTTTTCCAGGCTTTAAACTCTGCTCTGCTGATAAGGCACAGCGTTTCAAAGCAGCCAAGCCTCCTCCTGCTCCAGGGTGGGTCCTGCTCCCATGGTGATGCCATGGGTCACCTCACCCAATCTTGTGACCCAAACAGGTTTTGATCAGCAAAACACACCTTCACTTTCACTTTCTGATAAAAGTGGTGAAGTTTGTAGCTGCTGGAAGCCTGGAGGGAGCATTCTCCCATGGCAGTGCAAAGACTGGAGATCAGCACTGCCTGTTTCAGCTTCCTCAGAAGAGGAAGGGAGATCACCTTCTGAAACAAACACTACCCCTAATCCTCTCAGAGAGCTGCTTTTAGCTCCCTGAGACCCTGGGGACCCACCAAGCAGCTGTTTATGGCCTCTTTATTTTTTCCTTCTCACCTGGTGTGTAGGATGCAGCATGTGAGCAGTCTTCCATCCTTGTTGCCTGGAAATAACCGCCCGACATCAACCTCTAGCCTATCCCGCACCTCACTGGTTTGGGGGACAGGAAAGCTGGCAGGTGATCTTGCTGGCGGGCAGGAGGAACAATGAGGGTAAGACTGGTTTCTTTTTTGATGTGACATTGCGCTATACCTAGGTGACAGGACACACTTTGCTCTGATGCTCACTATTTTTGGTCCTTTGAGGTTTTAGGGTAATGGGTTTACCATTTGTGAGTTTCTTGGAGGCATGTGTTGCGGAGAGATTTACCAAAGTGCCTCTTTCTGTAACTTCACGTTTTGCTTTCATCTTCTTTCAGTGGAAATTCATGTTCAGACTTGAATACTGTAATAACGTTTTTTTCTGCTACTTTGCAGGTCACACTAGCCAGACTCTGCGGAGAGGCAGGTTTCATGCGGAAGCATTTCTGTGTGAGTAGCTGTGAAATTGTTGGGGCTTTCTTTTCCCTTGCTTGGGCCTTTCCGTCTCTGTGGAGTCAGCCTGGCTGCCTTCTGGGAAGAGAGAGCTGATGAGGCATGTTACTGGTGAGACGCATACTTTTTCCTTCTCGTTTTGAATCCTTCAATTTAATACAAGCCATTGGCATGGGAATGTATGAGAGCTCTTGGCTACGACACACGCTTCCTATTGTTGGGAGTGAACAGCCCTGCAGCAAAATTATGAAGTAGCTCAATTTGATCAGCTGATTTCCCACAATAGTTAAAAGATGTGATTTTTGCCTATGATTGTTGCACTCTTTTATGAAAAAGAATGCGTTACTCGATTCTCAGCTTCATGAGGCCCCACGCTGTCTGATACAAGGAATCGACCCTTTCCCCCTCCCTCACGTCCTCAAGCTAACAAACATTGGTTGTTTTTCTTTGGGCTTTAGGGTGGTCCTAGTCATATATTTAAATTTTTTCCGCTACTAACAGTAAATTCCAGGCTGGGAAACTAGGATAAATTTAAGAGATAATGGCAGAGTGTGATCCCCACTAGTCATAGCAACCGTCAGGAAGCACTCACTGTTTCTCCGTCGCAGTTTGGTATCTAGGAAGAGAACTGAAAAGGACTGTGGAAGAGAAAGAAAAGGAGACGTGTTTTGTATGTAGAGAAGAATAAATCACTCTGTATCTGTGGACTGCTGCTCTCCAACAAGCTTCCAAACATGCCTCAGGAAGGGATCTAGAGGAGCAGGCACTGCATTCGCAGGACGCGCTCTGCTCCATGAGCCAGCAGTGCATCACAGGTGGGAAATTTCACCCAGCAGCACTGGGAAAAGCTCAGGCAGTGCAGGCAAGGTCCAAAAATGGGCTGAGGACATATAAGGCTCCTCCAAGGAGAAGGGAAAGATACAATCCAGAGTAAGGATTTGTAAGCATCATCCCACGAGGAGCATCCTGGGAGAACAGGGGTTGTGGGTAATGGGTAGGCGGCTGCACAAGCAGCTCGGCTCCCTTCCTGCCCTGTTCCTCCCTCCAGTGCTTTTTAGTTTACCTGCTGGTGCATTAAAGACTCATCATAGCTACAAACTCCCGCAGAGCTCTCCAACCAGCTGAGAACACTGCACAAGTCGCTGATGCCTGTATTTTTGAAAAGCCATTGTTGGGCCAGCAGTAGTACTATTACTGCATTAGCTAACTCCTTCAGCGATGTCATTTTAATCACCTTAGTGTATAACATGGACCTGATTCTTCAGCTGAACCAGGGGTTGTACCTCCCACCTAACTTTCTCTTGGGATGCACAGCTTGGAGCCAGTGACTAATAGTTTCTTCTTCTGGTGTCTGCAAGCCTGGATGCCTTTCCGATACGACCGTCTCGGTCAAACACAGATGACCAGGCACAGTGCAGGGAGGGACGAGGTGAAATGTAGTGGCCTGTGATACACAGAAAATCGCAGCTGCTCTCTGACTCCAGCCTGGCTTTCCGCTCGGTGGGTCAGTGTCCCCTGCCACTCAGCCCCAGCTGCCCCTTCCCAAAGCACAAGGTAATGAGAAGGGACTAACCGCATCAACTCATTAAACCGGGTTTGTTAGAAGACAGATTGTCATGTTAAGCAAATATTAAAAAAAAAAAAAATAAAATTCCCTGGGCCATGCCCCATCTGGGCCATTAAATCCAAAAGGGGTAACTACCGTCGTGTCAAAGCCGGGCTCAGGAGCTGATGTTCGCTATTTGTACGACTAGCAGTTGGCAACAACTCCATTTTCAAACCTCATTTTCTTCTCCTCATTTCCCCATGCTGCACTACGTAGAGTGCAGGCACGGCAGGGGGATGCACACTGCTAAACAAGACAGTCTTTGGGACTTACAAAAGGAAACCCCACAAATGCATTTCCTAAACCCATTGCGTGCCCTTTATTTCTCACCAGCCCCTCAGTTACCTGATGACAGGACGGGAAGGGCTGCCCGTTGTTAGGCAGTTGGCTTTTTGTAAATTATGCAGATTTTATCAATCTAATGAGAAGGTGGTGTGGAAATGAAGTAGGACAGCTCAGCTTTCAGGGCTTCAGTGCTGCAAGTTTCCAACTTGGAAGAAAGCAAGCATCTTTTTCGAGGGAGGGGAAAAAAACAACAACTTTGAGTTAATCCAGCATTTCTTTTGATCAGTCCCTTGGTAGTCTGATTAATTTTGAGTGCAGATGTTTACGCTTTCCATCACAGAACGCACCCAGTACTTGGGAACAGCCTCACCGTGCCGTATTTCCTCCTTGCCACACCGTTCTTGTTACGGTTGTGCAGCAACATATGCTAAGGCCTTATTACAAGGGATTCCTATAAATGGCATAAAGGATTAATAATGTATTTATAACACAACTTTGTTTTAGTATAAAGTGATCTATAAATTTGTAATAAATGTTTTATAATGTTTTTGTAGCCTGTTATAAATGATAAATGGGAGACTATAGATGCCACATCAAATATTCATGCTGCATTGTGTGCATTATTATGCCGTTACTGTTCAGGAAACCATTAATAATAAAGTGAATGGAGATGTAAAAGTTGCTGACATGCCCAGCAAGGCATTTATAATGAAATGTATAATCCTTACCATAAAGTAAATACATTGGCCAGTGATTGTTGATGAAATGGAAACACACTGAATTATTTGTGAGGTATTTATATATTAATGTATATTATCCATATCATGTCATAGAAATGCCATTAATATATGTATTATTAATTATTTTTACCTAATTTATAGGCAGCTCTTAAAGCATTACCTTGTCTCTTCTGCAGTTTTGTCAGCCACACGAGATCGGGTGAGTTATTTAACGTGAATCGTGTGCCACGGGGCAGCCGGGGTGAGCGGGCACCCAGGGTGCTGACCCGGGCTGTGGCCCGGGCAGGATGGCAGTGGGCGGCTGCTGCCTTGGCCCCTCATCCCACCACCCGGCTCTTCCCCTCTGCGGGAGAGGGGAGGGAGGGAGGCGGCCGCAGGCGATGCCCGACAGCCACTGGTGCCCGACGGGCAGCCCCCGTGCCTGTGGATGGCCTCCCTCCTGCCCCAGCCACCATGAGGCCTCGGGGCTGCCATGCGTCCTCCTCCTCCTCCTCCTCCTCACGCCTTCCCTGTGTGGCTGCCCCTTCAGGAAGGAAACCTGATTTATTTATTTAGGAAATGTCCTTTGTCACACCTTCCTTGTGTGGCTGCCCCTTCAAGCCTTTCATTTATTTATTGATTGATTGATTGATTTGCATGGGTGTGAAGGAAATGTCCTTTGTCCCGACGTGTTGGGGTGCCATGTCGCGACAGGGCCACGCGGGAGGACAGGGCTGCCCCTTCACGAAGGAAACCGGAAACCTTATGTATTTATTTATTTAGTGAGTGAGTGAGTGCGTGGGTGTGAAGGAAATGTCCTTTGTCCCGACGTGTTGGGGTGCCATGTCGCGACAGGGCCACGCGGGAGGACAGGGCTGCCCCTTCACGAAGGAAACCGGAAACCTTATGTATTTATTTATTTAGTGAGTGAGTGAGTGCGTGGGTGTGAAGGAAATGTCCTTTGTCCCGACGTGTTGGGGTGCCATGTCGCGACAGGGCCA